ATCAAATCACTTCATGCCCTCGCATCTCCCGACCTTTCTGACTTACTCACGCCCCGCTCCACCATCCGCTGCCTCCGCTCGGCCTGTTCCGGCCTCCTGTTCGTGTCTTGCCCCCTCCACTCCACCATTGGCGGCTGTGCTTTCAGTCACTATGCCCCGAAGCTCTGGAACTCTTCCCCCAATCTCTCTGCCTTGCCCGCTTCCTACCCACTTTCAAATCCCACCTAAAGACCTTCCTTTTTGATTGTGCTTAGAGTCACCTACCCCCTTCCCTCTCTCCCAGCTCGGGGTAAGACTCCGCCACTGTTAAGCACTCTGGAACCCTAACAGGCATGAAGGGCGCTATATAAATGCAAGTTGTTGTTGCTGCAAGGCAGCAGGACAAGAATCATAAATTCAGATGAAGGGAGATACCAAGACATGCCAAGAATGAGTTACCAGTAAACTTATTAAGAAAACGTTGACGCTGTTATGGGAGAATCGTACAACTGGTATTCTGGAGAGATGAAATCAAAAGTACCAATTGCTTTTCTTCAACCATATCTATTTTGATTTGATTACTGCGGAAATAGAAGAGACTTTAAACTCATCAAGTTAAACCATCTTAAAAATATTTCTACCAATATACTCATCTTTTATATATTTTATTAATAGAGAGCTATCACAATATCATTTCACACATGCAGTAATTTTCATATTTTATGACTGAGAAATATGAATTCATCTTTTCAACAAATAAGCATGACAGAAAGCTATGAAACAATAAAGTCAATACAAATAAAACATGTAAAAATAACACTGGGTGGCATAAGCACTTTCTCATTTGACAATGCTGATTGGAAATTTCAAATTGATTTAAGATGGCTTTAAAACGTGTTCAGTTACATAGAATTACATAGACTGTCATCAGCACGGAAACAGGCCATTCGGCCTAAGTAGTCCATTCCATTGTTTGTACTACACATTCACTTCCACTCCTCCTAACCCCTTATCCCACACCCCTCCAATCCTGTCTCTCTTGTGGTTGTATCAAGTTCGTCTTAAATACCATGATGCCTTCCCTTTCAACCACATCCCCCATAGTGAGCTCAACATCCCTTGTGCAAAGCTCAACTTAAACTCCCTTCTAGATCTGCCAGTGGCTATTGTATATATTTATAACCTTCTGTTTTGCACTCACCAACAAGTGGAAACAGACGATTAATGTCCAAAGTTCTAAGTCTGCAATCTGCCCACACTGCAAAAAAAAACTTATGTGGACAAAAATGTACTGTATTAATACCAATGAAGTAGCTGAGGAAATCTGTCTAAAATTCAGCCACAGGATGTTCTAAGAAAATGTAAAAACCTGTTCAATATGTTGTAAGAAGTAAGGCATCTGGACCAGCTGGACTGGATCCAAGAGTACTTAAATAAGTGATGTTAGAAGTAGGGGAGCTTCGACAGAAATTTTTCGCAGCTCATTAGATACAGGGGTGGTACCAGAAGATTGGAAAATAGCTAGTGTTATTCCAGTCTTTAAAATAGGTCAGAAGTATGATCTTGGGAATCACTGGTATGTTAGCTTGACATCCATAGTAGGAAAAGTACTGGCATCGATTATAAAAGGAAGCAATTCAAGCAGATTTAACAAGCATAAAAGCAATAGTTCCAAGCCAACACGAGTTTATGAAAGGCAGATCGTGCTTAACAAATTTGTTGGATTTTTTTGTGGATTTGATAGATGATGGTAGTACGGTTGATATTATATTTCTGGACTTAAAGGAAAATTGGATCTATTATGTGCCAAGTGTAAACTATGTATAAGCCATGTGCAAACACAGTTGCATTGAATGTTTTGTGCAAACACATGTGTACATAGGAAATTACAGGCACCCTTAATTATGTAATTACAACCAAAACAAGTTGCACTATATATAGTGCCTTTCATGTAGGAAAACAGCTCAAAGAATTTCACGGAGACCAAGTGGCAACTATTGACACTGCAGAATTAGTAACCAATAATAAGGAATTGTTAATCATACATTTAACATCAAATCTTTCTCGTTAGTTGTTACTTACAAAATCAAGGACACCTGTATTTCTCTCTGTATACATCTCCATGCATAAGAGCAGGGAATGCAACTATGGGACCCAACTAGCCATCGAACGGAACTAGGGGATCTCTCATGCATGCTCAATAAAGACAACAGGAAGGAGCGATATTTATTGCAGTTTAAATAATAGTTTATATTTTTATTCCAAGATGCATGCATCTGGCTTCATTTTCAATTGGACTAAATAACTACACAGTTCTATTGCTCCTTCTTCTTGCCTTTTTGATCATGTGTGAAAGGGCCACCTAGCAGCAATTGGTTGGAGACCCCTGCTTAAGAGTATCCAAACCAGACTGAGTTCCACATATATTTGCCATATTCACATTGGAAATCTTCTCTTATCTGGAAGTGGAATGCACATTATTTCCCTATTTACCCAATTTCAGAAAGTATTAGGTGCAGTTTGGTGAAAGCCAACCCTTGAGGCTATTTCAGGACCCCAAGCTGAAATATCCACATTCTAAATGTAAATTCAAGATAAAGTTCTCAAAGTTTGTTATCTTACACTGCAGATCAGCACCAAATAACGTAAATGTTGATTCAGCTGAAGCATTTCAAGAGGAATTGGACTGAGGGAACTGAAAGGTAGATTGGCATTACTGGCCTCTCCCCTCTGAAGCCAGAGTTTGAATTCAGCTCTATTAATAGCATGGAAGCATCTCTCTATGATGACTGCACAGACCCTAGGGTATAAACCTAGTCCCAATGAGTGTGATTCTACAACCTAAACAACTATTCATAATGGTAGCAACATCCAAAGTTACTGGAAAATTAAGCTATTTTCACCTTCATGGCATCCCTCACCTTCATCAGCAATTTACCAAAACATAATAAAACCAGATACATTTGATTCCTGATGAACTTCAAAGTAGAGAGATATGGACATGTATACTTTTCTTTGTATTCTCTTAAAATCATCTTTTGTTTTGTTTTCTAATTTCGGGTTGATTGTAGGTGTTTGATGTTTGCTGACTGGTTCACTGCTCTGGAAGTAGTGTTATTCTTTCTCTTGTTGATCGCTTAATCTACAATTGTTTGTGGGACACTGCTGTGCGCAATTGGCTGCCGCGTTTCGCCCACAAAATATACAGTTGATACATTTTACAGTACATTCTGTGAAGCACTTTGAGACGTCTAGAAGACATGATAAGGCGCAATATCAAATGCAAGGATTACTATTATGAAATAAAAATGAACTATGAACAATGCACAATCCTATAAAGACCTAAAATATCAAGATTCCCCCAATTCATTAATGTAAACATAAGTGTAAAACTGGACGCTACCTAACACCATGTTAGCAACTCTACATGAAGACGCTTCACTCTACAAAACTGTGATGTAATTGTACTTGAACCGCAAGCTCTTTACGGTACAATATTTTAGTGTGTGGAGTGCATATTCTCAATCTAAGCAAAAATACAAAAATTCTTATTGAGTGTGTTGGGAAATTAAGTTTCAGATGCTAAACAGGTTCTGCTAGGCATTATCCAAACTACTAACAGTAAAAAGTAGTAAGGGCGTAGTCACACTGCACCCTGAATGTTTATATCACTGTGAAAACTACCACTCACATTGTAGTTTACTTATTTGTAAACATTATTTCATTTTGCCTCTTCAGTGTCAAGATTTCATATTAAAAAAATCAATATTTTAAGTCTACAAGCCTACACAAACATGCTTGTAAAGATGTCCAACAATCAAAAAGTACAGAAATAAAAAAATCAACATTTTTTTCATTAAACACAGCCAAGCCACAACACTTCTTACCTACTTTACAGATACGGTTGTTGGAAACTAAATGCTGTTCCCAAATGTCTGGCCGTGTTTTAATTAATCATTTTTGTGTCTTCCAGCATTGTACAAAATCATTTTTAATCAGTTAAACTTATTTGCATCAGATTGCAGAGCACCTCAAAAACTGATGAATATCAATTTAAACACATTTTTATCAAATCCAGGCAAGTCTATTTACAGATTAGATTTCATTAATATATATACAGGGGATTTTCCAAGATAAGAAAACACATCCGTAATGGCTAGCAATATTCAGCATCAGCAAATAATACCCACACATATTATTTACCTAAACTATTTTAGGGGAAATGTACATTATTATCAAACAATATAATGCTCAATGCTTTTCCACGTGAAGTTGCCAAAGACCCAACAATCTCCATGTTACATTATAATCTGCACCGTTCAGATGTGAACAGTGTGGACTTTTTGCTGGGTACATTTTAAGTCATTAAAATGAATCAGGAATTACCCGGTCAGTTATACAAACGTTAGACCTCAGCTGCCTTGAAGTACATCTCATTGTTTACTTTAACTAAATTTGCTTAACTGGTGGTCTGTTAAGTACTTTGTTTGCCCTCAAGACACTTAGTCTGAGAGTCCATCACAAACCCTTAACCTGGTGAACTTGACAACCAAATGATTAGACAAATGACTGAAAGATGCAGGTGCCTACAATCGTGGAAGCTAACCACTGTTAATGTGGAGGCAGGAACAATGAAGCTATTTGACAAAGCAAACCTGTTGCTCTTGCAGTTTAAGGAGGGTTGTCACACTGTCAAGAGGCAGCTTTGATCAGCTTTTCTAAATTCCATCAACAGGCACAAAAATGTTGTACTTTTGTATCGGTTTTTGTTTGTTTATTGTAACTGCAAAGTACTAAATGTAACACTTGGAGATGACAGAAACATTCTAAAAAAAAATAGAAATATGATATTATGCAACCAACTGAATTGAAAAAAGCCTGAATCCCCAGCCTCAAATTAGCTCCCTTTCCTTTCCACAGTCCAACTAACATTCCCCAAAGAATAGATTTATGGTTTGCTTCTTTGACCAACATTAAATTACAAAACATCTTCTTTTATCAATAAATTTAAATGTACTCACTTTTTTTGGCTACTCTTAGCAATTCTTGAAGCTTCAGCAGCTGTCTTCCTCATTTCAAACTCTTCTCTTTTCAGCACCTCTCCAGTTCCCCTGTACCCCAGCTCCACCAGCTGCCGAGCCAGCTCCTCATCCTAATGGATTAATGGAGACGATTTATCAAGGCCAAGCTAAAACGCATACATTGATTGTCTGTTTCATGTTAACAGAAATGGTAGAAACTTTGAACTAGTCATGTCAGAAAGTGTATTAAAATAAGGTTTAAAAGAGACATTGGTATCATCCTAGTATCATCAGGCCCTGGTATCATCCTAGTAAACCTACACTGTACCTTTCCAAATACTTGTTTCTCAGTGTGGTGGTCAGAATGGACACAGTACCTCCTCAATTTTATATTCTATCCCCTGGACATAAACCCCAGGATTCAATTGGCACTGTTTTTGGCTTTATCTAAAGATGTTGCTTTCTTAGAGATTTGTGGATCTGAATCTTCATGACTCTTTGCTAATCTACTTCTCTTAGGTTTCCACCATTTAAACTATAGTTGACTTTTTTAGTTTTTCTACCTAAGGCAATTATTTCATATTTTTCGATGTTAAACTTCATTTGCCATCTCTCTGCTAATTCTGGCTGTTTGTTTATATGTTCTTGCATTCTTCTTCATTATTTACCAACCCCACTTTGGTGATGTCTTAAAGCTGCCTCCTCTTCCGGTGATCGTCGATGGACCAGTTGATATTTGCATAAACCAATCTGACCCATGCAGACCAGATTGTCTCATGGATGATCCACGGCCTGTGCAGAATTGGTTCTGCTCAGCCAGACCAGGGTTAGTGGTACAATTGACTTTAGTGACTCTGAGCTCAGGAGGTGGGGGGGGGAAGGAAATCAGTCAGTTCCAATTCCTGATTGCCGTCTGGTGACTCACATTAGAAAGTGCATTTATCAAGCAAAGGGCAGGATAAATCTCTGGTGTGCTGAGAGTTGACACTTGGGGCTCACATATGTGATCAGTGGCCCTTTGGCTGAGTGTACCAGAATACAGCTCATGCCAGAAGAAGTGGAAAGTGGAGGGAGTAAAAAATGTATTAAAGAAAAAGTATTAATTTCAAATAATTACTACTCAATATCGTTGTATTGACAGAATCTGCAAGTTAACTTGAAGATGATCTATATCTCATTGCAAAGAAAAAAATCAAAAAAGTACTTTTTATTGGCATGAGATATGATTCGGTGAATTCAACAGCTACATTTAAATTAAAACCGGATTGAAGGAAATCAATGATCAAAAAAAAACACTGCATGTTATTAAACTTTAACCAAAACCAGAAGAACATTCTGATATGATCACCCTTGAGTATTATACGGGGAGTCTAAGCTGAACCTAACCAGGACTACTAGCTACATGTTCAGAACAGGGCTTTAGTCTCCTTTAGTTGGTTTACACCAGGGGGGCTAGCTAAATCACTGACTGGTATATTGTTTTCAGTCAAATTTATTAGAGCAGCAACTCACTTCAACTGAATATTTTGAAGTTATATTGGAGTAAGAAGCAATGATTACATTTCTCATTAACTCATTATCGGAGTCCCGTAGTGTAGGGGTTAGCGCACGAGCCTTGCAAGCGAGAGGACCTGGGTTTGATTCCCAGGCAGGAGAAAACTTTAGGCAAGATTCCATACTCCAAATTAATGCTTACCCGGCAGTAAGTAGGAACCTGGTTGTTAAATCGATCGGCGGATTGATTTCTGGCGGACATGGTTTGTGTGACCAAAACATTGGTCACTCATTTGTTTGGGACAAGACACGTGCATATACGACTGCCAGCATGGTGGAAGGCGAACTGGATAGACCTTGGTCTTCTTTCACCGAGCAAATTCTTACGTTCGCACTCCATGGCTGTTTATGGAACATTGCTGTGCGCAATTGGCTCCCACGTTTCACCCACAAAACAATCAGTATATCCTGTGAAGTGTTTGAGATGTCTCAACGATGTGATAAGGCGCTATATCATAACAAGGATTACTATTATGAAGATTTGTTTCAAAAGGCTGGCCAGAATAAAGTCATGCTTGTGCTGAAAATAGCTGATACAGTGCCTCAATATGATGTTATGAGCATGCGCTGCCATCTTGTGGCAGCATAGCTAAAAGGTACAACACATTCAACATAGAAGGTACAGTATTCAGCAGTTGGTAACATGCACTGAAAGAATGAAGAAATTAAGGATTTTTATAGTGGCTTAATGTAATGTTGAAATGTCCCAAAGTGCTCATGGGTAATTATTGTCACATATAGTGACTGTAGGACTTCAAAACCTGCTGTAAATCTTGTCCCAAATACATGAGCAGTTCACCCGTACAGGTTCACAAAGAGTCAAATGTGTTCAAATTTGAAAAAATGAACAGTAAATTCACTATAGTTTTAGTTAAGGACTATCCAAACTGTAACAATTTGCCATTGATGCAACCCTAAAAGTTAAAATTGCACACCATTTCTACGATTTATATAAGAACAAACAAGCAGAACTGTGGTCATCAAATGTTGAATCTAATGGGAAAACATATACTGTAGTATAAATCTTTGTCTGACGTGGAAAGAGTGTTTAAGATGATGAATAGTGATGTGGAAAGAGACAAAAAAAGCAGATATTTAATTTGTTACGGTGATGAGAGAAAGTTCTCAGAGGAGCAACGGGAGTGAACATGCACTTTGTGGAAGGACATTCAGAGAGTCAGATCGCTTTATATACAGAACCACCTTTCTCTTGCAGATGCCAATTAACTTGCAGCTGATTACCAGCACTTTTTGCTTTGAATTCAGATTTCCAGCATTTACCATTTTCCTTTTAACCTTTCACACACACAGGACTACAGCACTACCTCACCCCTCACGCTGCTGAAACTCTGGTCCACGCCTTTATCACCTCAAGGCTGGACTATGGGAACTCTCTCCTCGCCGGCCTTCCCGCCACCTCCCTCCACAAGCTGCAGGTCATTCAGAACTCTGCAGCTCGTGTACTGTCCCGCACCAGGCTTCCCGACCACATCACTCCCACCCTCGCTCGCCTCCACTGGCTCCCCATCCCCCAGAGGATCGAATTCAAGATCCTCATCCTCACTTACAAGGCCATTAACAGCCTTGCACCCTCCTACCTCCCCGACCTACTATCCCCCTACCTACCTGCCCGTACCCTCCGTTCCTCTGGCTCCGGTCTGCTCCACATCCCCCGCCCCAACCGCCCTACCATCGGTGCCCGGGCCTTCAGCCTCTCAGCCCCGAGGTTCTGGAACTCCATCCCCCAGTGCCTTCGCCGCCTCCTCCCTTTCCTCCTTCAAGGCCGACCTCAAGACCTTTCTCTTTGACCGTGTCTTCAGCTCCCCTCTCGACTCTCTACCCTCTCCTCGCTCCCTCCCTTCCCTCCCCTCACCCTGACCATTTCCCCCCTCCTCGCTCCCTCCCTTCCCTCACCCTGACCATTTCCCCCCTGCTTGGGTCCTGACCCAACTGTACAGCGCCTTGGGACGTCCTTCCAACGTGAAAGGCGCTCTATAAATGGAATCTTGTTGTTGTTGTTGTCTTTATTGGTATTCTGATAAAAAGGGTCTTGTGGTGTACTCTGCAAACACACAATTTAAATGTGGGCTAATGCAATTTTAATAACATTATTTAACAAGATAAATAATAATACTGCATTTGCATTTTATATAACAATATTTGGGAAGATATCTCAAAATGCTTCACCAGATTTTAATGTAAAGGTGCAGTGATTGTGTATATTGTAGGTCAAAACCAGTATAAAAAAAAGAGTATGTGCCAATGAGTGACTTTATTTTAACAATGATAATTAGTTTGGGGTAGAAAATCTCAAACACATCAAAGTACAGAATTATCTAGATACCTGACTTTAAGAGCTGATCACAACTCTCTTGAAAGAATAACAACAACAAAATTACATTTGTATCGCGCCTTTTATGTCGGGAGGATGTCCCAAGGCGCTGGACAGAGTTACAGAGCTGAGCTGAGGGTCTGGATGTGGGAGGGGGAAGGGCAGGGGGGGAAGCAGGGAGATCGAAAGCAGGGTCGAAGAGGTGGGTTTTGAGGTGTGTCTTGAAGGTGGCGGAGGAGGGGGCGAGACGGAGGGACTGCAGGATGGAGCTCCAGAGGGTGGGTGCAGAGTGGCAGAAGGCCCACCCGCAGATAGTGGGGGGAGCAAGGCGGGGGACACGAAGTGGGCCGGAGCCCGCTGAGCGGAGGGAGCGAACAGGGCGAACAAAACAAGATGATGGAAGAGAAGGTGAGATTAAAGATATTGGCCTTCAGTTGGTCGACTTTAACTTTAGATTTTGTTCAGGAGATGTGTTTATCAATGATTCATAAAATACAGTTTGTTTCAAAATAAGAAGATGGAATCTCATCATACACATGATACTGAGCACTAACCAAATTAGTTTAGTGAAGATCTCTACAAAGAAAAAACACACAGAGCGGAAAAGGTAACATTTCATTGGACTCCCTTTCCATCCTGGAAGTGCATGAAAACAGAGCCTCTTGTTCTACCCCAGGGAGTTGAATAGGAAGGAAACTGAGGAAATTAACATAACTCCCACATTAATCTTTTCAAGAAGTGAACAGAAAGGTTTTGACCAACCTATCAAAACTTTTTTCGCATTGAGAGAAATCATCAAGGCCAGCTAATAACAAGCATCCTGTGTGTTAAGTGTGAATATAGTTTGTCTTTCAAATTGGAATGTGCTCAGCAATGTACTTTTTTGAAGGGCATCAGCAAGTATTATAACCCTTTTCAACAAGGAAATAAACTAATAAAATGCAAGAATAATCCTTTCTTGTCATTATCACTCAAGGCCATAAACCAATGTCACCTGGAGTGTGGGTGGAAGAGTAACTATTTCCAATGCACATTTAATAATAATTAAACAAACAATGACCAAAGAACCTTATAATGTACTGGAAGATTTTCTTGACTGCTATAATCTTTTTGCAGGATTTTTTGCAGGAAAAAGAACTCCTGAAAAATAGGATCTGAATTAAACCTAAATTTAAATTTTGCATGATCTTACATTTTAAGACAATAGTCCTGTATAAGGCTAACCTTCATAATAACCTAAACAAC